GTACAGCTTGATATTTCTGAGTTACATATATTGGTGAGATGTTTTGATGCCGACCGCTAATAAAGTAAGGGACGATACGTTCTTGTATTTTTTTTGATTCAGCGCATAGATCTTCAAAAACAATAACAGTGCTTCTTTTTGGGGAGAATTTGCTTATATCTGGAATTTTTTCGGCCTTTATTGTTTGAAATGAGATATTCTTCCGATATGGGTCAGGGCTATTTGCAAAAATATGGAAAGCATTTTTAACCAGCTCCCATTTAGGCTCAGCATGTTTTCCAACCAATACGAGGTGATCATTTTTAATATATCTATTCCCCTTCTTGCCTTTAAACATACGCTGAAGTTTGTTGCCAAGAATAAGGTTTATAACCATATTAGTTTTTTCACTATGTGAGCCTCCAGTCACTAAAAGGCGAAAAGGCCAATCTGGACTATATTTATTACCCTTCATTCGATCCAAAGATTTTCTGGGGATCTCATTAACGTTATACACAAAGAATTCCATACAGTATTGCATATTATGCCAAAATGAATTTCTTAGCCCAAAAAATTTCTGGGATGGACCTATTCCTTCGCTTTATCCAAGAATCCTTTCTCGATCAGTGTATGCTTAATGAAAGGCAAAAGGTCACATGTGTATGGCACTTCGATAAGGCATATATCTTGGTTGTTGCATATATCCCGCTTCTTTTGATCGCGCATATTTTGTGATTTTAGATTTTCATTCCCCCGGTGATAAAAATTATTGTGATGATAGTGTTGAGGACCCTGGAATTCAAATGCAAGATGCAATTTCTCATTATATCCATCCAAGTGTAGCCCATCTAAGAACTTACCCCTACATGGTGGAAATTTCTTGCCTAACAAATCCTCAAAAATATATCGTACAGTTCTTTCAGTAGTATGATGGCAAAGAGGACACCATTCAAATTTTTTCATAATATATTTTAATGGATACTCCCACTGATGCGCACCATTCTTACAAGACCAAAGATATATGCTATGGCCATTTGTTTGTCCGGTCTTTCCTATACATTGACCATTGCGCTTCTTAGCATAATTCTTCGCTTGATCTAGCTCGCTATTAGTAGGGGAAGCATATGCAATATGTACAGACAATATGCTTTGAGGCGGACGACCAACCCTTTCTGGATCAGCTATTAACATAAGTTCTTTTCGCACAAACCCGCGAGATTGTGCAAATTCACCATCGAGATAATATAAAACTGGCTCATTCTTTATAACAACAACTTTTTGAATTTTATGAATAGAAGGCGACCATATAGGGTCAGTTGCTCTTTTCTGATTCTCCATACCCCCTTCCCATTCTGCATTGGCAAGTAGGTAGCGGATAGAATCACCTTTCTTTAATGCTATTTCATCTTTTCCAACTGGGCGCTTATATTTTGTAGATGGTTTAGATTCTACTCGATCTAATAATACAATGGCTTTCACTGGCTCGAGTCTCCACTTTTCTGATCCTGGTTCTCGAATAAGGCGCGTGGGATAATTATTTAGATAATCAATAACTACTGGTATATATCTAACCCATGCTCTTATTAATTGAGGATCTGAAGTTATTGATTCAATAGCATACTGGATTTTGTATAGAATTTTTGAGAGTGTTTGGTTTAAACGCTCCACAAAAGCAAGTCCTCTATGACTATATGGGCCAATCACTCGAATTATAACATTGTGCTCTTGCATTAGTCGTGAAGTCTCGCCCATCCATTCTCGCCCATTATCTGTTTGAAGTAATTTAGGATAGGTAAGAGGATTACTAGGGTCATCATATATTTTCCTAAATGCTTTAGCAACCTCAGAACTTTTCTTCGATCTAAGTGGAACTGAAGCTTTGTATCTGGAGGCACAGTCTATTATATTAAGCACTGCTTTATATTTTTTACCTCTATAACGATCATGTGTGAGAAATAGTATATCGCACTGATGTACGCAATTGGGACGTGTTATTCTTCCATAGCTGACTCTAGGGATGTATTTTGGAGAGGTTTTATTAATTTGGTATGACTCTTGATTTTCTAAAAAATCTTTACATTCACTTAGGCGGAATTGGTGCTCCTCTTTTTTACATTCATCTCTTAACGATTTGGGATTAGAATTATAGCCAGTTGGGCGATAATATATTCTACGCAATATGATATTTTTTTCAATTCTCTGAGCCTCAATAGGGTCTATCAAGATTTGTGGTTGGCTCATTCTGATTCTCTTTTATAATCACAAAAAAGAATGGCATTTCTGAGGCCCCATCTAAGGCATAGAAGAACATGTGAAGAATATAAAGCTGAGCTGGAGGAGGAGAACTACCATCTTCGTAGTGAATTGCAAGCAGAAGTTGATAGTAACTGCCAAAATGAAAAGCAGATCAGTGAGCTGGAACGTGAATGTGTCCGTTGTGAACAAGAAATCCAAACTCTTAGTGGTGAGATAGAACGTCTTGAGAATGCTTCGAAAAAGGAGATAGTAGAGCTAAAATCTGAAATTTCCAGCCTAAAAAAGCAACTATATCAAGCTAAGAAGGATATTCGTGATAATGAAAAACATATTTCTAGTATAGAGAGTCTGTTAGTAGATTCCGAGGAGCAGGTAGAGAAATTGCGATGCCGAATCAGAACCATCTTATCACGAAAAAATTCACCAGAAAGAGGTAATTCTCCAGACTTGTATAATTCTGATGATAATATGGCCACAATCACAGAGCTAGCAAATGCTATAGATGGTTATCTGAATAATAGGACAATGACCAGAGATATTCTAATAGACCAAATTAAAAGGGCGACAAGGCAGATACGTCAAAAAGAGAATAATTTGCATCAGGATTTAGTCTGTGAGCAAAGAAGGCGCTATGATGCAGAAGGTGAGCGAGATCTTGCTATTACGTGAAGAGATCTTGCTGAAGGTGGGATGGCTAATGTTATTGGTGATCTCCATCAGTTGCGGACCAATGCTCAAAACCAGGTAAATAGAATGATAGGTAATATAGCAAGAAAGCAAACCCGTATAGGTGTACTGGTACAAGAAAAATTTGCCTTACAGTTATTGTATCAGCGAAATGCCCATCACCTATAGCGATGTAGAAGGGATATGGGTTTATTGGAGTACAATCGTGACAGGCTTTATGAGAGATATGAGAAATGGAAAAATAAGACCCAAGCAGAACGCCAGAATAATTTAAATTTGCAGGGACAAATTTTGGCGCTACAGAATAACCCACCTAATATACAACAAATAGGAATGGTAGGATATGGACCCCCAATATTTTATGGACGTCCTGGAGAAGATCCAGAGGACTTTCTCAGAGACTTTCAAAGATATGTAGTAGCTAGTCGAATAAATATAGCTCCTGGAGCAGGTCAGGTCACCGGAAGAGCGGAGGCTTTAGGTTTATTAATATCTTGCCTTGAAGGACCTGCTAAGCAATGGTATGAAACTAACATCAAAGGCAAGAATTGGAAATGTAGTAATATCTCAGATAATTTAGGTGTAGCTACTTTAACTGCTGTTCGAGCTTTGGCCGCCGGAAATGGTGGTGGTCAGGTTGGTGCTTTGAATACTGCAGGAGAATTTCAAGGTAAGGCGGCCGCCAAAATTGGTAGAATTGGTGCAGGTATTGCAACTGGTGCTAATATTATTCCAAATGGTACTTGGGATGAAGACTGGTCCATAGCTGGTGGCGAACCTGAAGCTAATGCACCAGTGGTACCTAATGCTGGTGGAGGTTTTCCTGCTGTTACAATAGCACCTAACATCACACTTGGTCAACTTATATACTTACTCAATACTGCCTATACAACCGTAGAACATTTAAAACAGACGACAGTTTTCGGTCAGCTCATGCAAGGTGATATGTCAGTTGAGCAGTTTTCTGCCTGAATTAAAAAGGTTGGTAAATTGGCTGAAATGACTCCAGAACAGCAAAGAGAGCAATTTATTCGTAGCTTAAATCCTATGAACCAATATAATATTCGAATGATGGCTAAATTTTATGATACACAGGATAATATTACAAAAGCTCTGGCTGAAGCGGAAAAATTTACATTATCTCAAAAGAGTGTACCATCTTCTCTTCCTATTTTTCCGACAGCCAATCCATATGCAGATACTAACAGATCAGGGGGTGGGATGACTAAAAATGAAATCGAGGACTTGATAAAAACCACAATGGCTTCCTCACAGCCTCAAACAGCTTATCAAAATACCGATTTACAATCTTCTATTAAATCATTGCAGGAGACTATGTCTCGAGCGACTAAGACTCTAGATAATAGTAAAAAATCGGCCAATAAGAGAGGGGAAGACATTATTAGATGATTTTTAAGTGAGCTACTAAGGACAAAATCAAATAAGCAACCTGAAGATGATTATAATTATGACCCTGTGGATGATATTACTGACAGTATGGCTGGTATGACACTAAATAGTGCCACAATAAATGCTATCAATTCCGCCGTTAAAAGTGCCGTTAAGAAAAAATGTACCAAGTATGGTAGATTTGGACATACTTCCTGTAAGTGCCCTCGAAAGAAGAAAAAGAAAAGCAAGAAGTCGAAGAAAGGTAAGGTCAATCTCGCTATAGAACCAGATTCAGATTCTTCTTCAAACGATACTTCTTCTAGTGATAGTTCTGATTCTGATACAAGTTCCTCTGATTCTTCCGATTCTGATGGTGATCTTAATGTTCATATAGCTAAGTCAAAAAAAAAGTGAAGAAGGAGAGTGAATCCGAGAAATTATCCTCTAAAGAGATGTCTAGTGCCAAGCTGAGAGAAATACCACTAGAGGAGACTATTCGTAAAGTCCTTCATAGTGAGCTTAAACTAATCTTCCCCCACATTTTTTCCAAGATTCTGGTCTCATTGCGTCCAAACAGATAGTGGCTTCTACGGAGGCAAAGATAGTATCCCAAAATGATGTATCATCATCTTCAAAAGATTCGGATGAGTCCAGTCTGGAAGAGGAGTCTTTAGATGATCCTATAGAGATCGACTTCGTCAAGAAGAAGGAGCCGAAAACTAGTGTTGCCACTATAAAGTGCAAAATCAGGCGCTTGAAGATTCCAGCCATGACTCTAGACTCCAGAGCTGAGCCTCCAATTATAACGAAAAACATTGTTGATCGTACTAAGGACAAAATAGATAAATCTGAAAAACATGACCTTAGCGGTGTAGCTACTGTCCCGATTGAATCTATTGGTATTGTCCGCAATCTGCCTATTACTCTAGCTCCTGGGTGCATCATTTATTAAGATTTTGTAGTTGTGGATTATCACAAGCCAACGCTAATATTTTCTAATCAACTCCTAAAGAAATATGGATGCGCAGTGGATTGGAATACAAATGAGCTAAAGATCCCTCTTAATGGGAAGGACTATATTATCCCAGTCACTTTCACTGGTAAAAAAATGGTCTATCCTACATATATCCTACATATATCTTACACATATCGGGTACTTAAAATGTAGAACACAAATAATACACATATCATACACATATCGGGTACTTATATATATAGTATACCTATCAGGTACCTGATATATGTATGATATATATATTAGTACCCGATATGTGTATGATATGTGTATTATTTGTGTATGATTTTCTACATTTTAAGTACCCGATATGTGTAAAATATGTGTAAAATAAATCATTTTTTTACCAGTGTATGCATAAGGTCAAGAACAAGCTTGAGGTGAATTGTGCGACCACTACTTCTGAATGTGATGATCTGTCAACCCCAGACTGCATTTCGCAGGACTTAAGTGAGGATGGCGCATTAAAAAAAAAGTGAGTTATGAAGAGCTCGAAAAAATGTTATTTAGCGCTCTTAAGTCTAAAGAGGATCTTAACGAATTGTGTGAGAAATTATTAGTACGCTATGATAAACTAAATGGGAAATATCTTCTACACGGCTAGACGTCTATTCACCTCTGCTTTATTTTTTTCGTCTCTCTTAGCTTCTTTTTCATAAAATGCATTCAGATCCTCTCTGCTAATATTTAAACCTTCAGAACCCTCTGGGCTTGTAGACGTTGGCTGATTCTGGGTAATAGATGGTTCAGAGATTCTAACGGATTTGGACTTGGGTTTCTTTCCTCCGGTCTTTTTTACCTTACTCTTAGAAATAACATTGCATTCCACAGGATCTGCTTGCTGATATGAACCAGGTTCTTCTGACAGTGGTTTTATATCTTTAGGGTCTATTGGTTGGTGAGCTCCTCTCCAAATTTGATACACCCGCCGTGTTGATATTTTGTATTTGTTAGCCATGACTTCTGATGCCCGCTTCGTTGAATTTTTAGCTTTAATAATATCCTGGATATCTTCAGCAGATAGGGGGTTGCATCTGAACGCAAATACTGAAGCATTTTTTACAAATAGACAAAAAAAAATCTTTCGAAAAATTACCGGTATATTTTTGATATTTTTTCGGTATTCGTTTAATCTCTGTTCGGTATTATCGATATATTTTCGGTAGATTCGGTGTATTCGGTGTATTCGATATATTCGGTCTAAAAAATTTGCCAAGTAAAAAATTTTCAATCGCATGTTTTTTTAATATACTAGCAACTAAGCCGAAAAAAAGGCTATGACCAATGTGTATACCTTGAAAGATATTAATAATAAAGGTCATCGGCTTGGTAGTGCGTATGAGCAAGAGCTCGAAAAAAAATTGTATACCACTCTTAGTTCTAAAGCCGAAATTAATGATCTTTGTGAAAAGTTGTTGGCTAAAAATTCAGAGTATTCGGAGCGAGAGGAGGATATTGAAAATAAGATTAGCCAGTTAAATACGTCCAGTACTAAAGTTAGATCCCAACTCATTTCTGAACGGAAGTCTCATTCTGAAAGTCAACGTGGACTTGAAGCCAAATATACTGCTGAAATCCAATCGCTCAAATCAGAGATTAAAACACTGAAGAGAAAGGCGACTTTGGCCCAGAAAGCTTCGTCCGCTGACAAGGTCCAGATTCTTTCTCTTGAAACTAAAATACGCGAATTGGAAGGTAAGTTGGAGGACATAGATCTAGAGCGTACATATCATGATTTGGATGTAATGGGAGGGGTGGTAGAAGAGCCGGCCCAAATAAGCTCATCCGAAATAGAATCTCTCAGGCTTAAATTGGAACGAGCGAATGAGGACCGTAATTCGAAAGAATATACAATAGAATATATGGAAAAAGGGATAGAAGCAACACATGAGATAACCAGTCGGAAAATAGATAGCCGGTCTTCAGAACGATTAAAATTAATGGAGGAAAATAGGTCCCTCAAGGACCAGTTAGCGTTAAAGAAAAATACTTCGTCCCAAATAATTTCAAGTGAGGGGATTCCTTTGGAATCAGGTGGCGCAGAAGCAGTACCATTGTCCCAAGAAATATCTCTAGCACCGGCTATTCCTGTCGTTGCGAGTTCTCTAATATTGCCGATGATAACATATTCCATGCTTGCCTTACTACTGATTGTGGTTATATGGCTCGTGGTCAGGAAATGGTGGAATCTATGGGGTATGAATAAAAAAAATGATCGATATTTCACACACGAAAAATATATAAATAGGCCAGATATTTATTATCTCAATACCTAATCGACTACCGTATAAGTACTGGCGCGAGCGGGACTTCTCTGAATCTTCTTTGGATGTGGGCTAATACCTTTTTTGATAAATCTTCGGGTGGATTTATTAATATCTTTTTAGCTTGAGCCAGTGTACATGCAAATAACCATCCAATATGGATCTGGTTACCTCCCTTACCATTATGACCGTGTTGTAGTAAATATTGATAGTCATCCATTACGATATCTCTCATCCCTTCCTGATCCGCTATTATTTTGCGAAATAACCATCTATCATCTTCTGTGATTGGGAAATGGATTTTGTTGGGTTCGAAGCCTATGTACTGGGAAACTTGGTCACGTAGTTCAGCCATTATATCAATAAAACTTATGTTTAAAAACACTAGTGATCCATAATAGCCGTTAAGGCGTTTCGCAAAAATAGGCCTTAGCCACGGAGTATATCACATGTTTTTGGCCGGCCCCAGCTGAAAAATACTAATGATCATCTCCGGGCATATCCGTGGCCAGGCTATATGATCGGAGGTCAGAAGTTTGAAGATAAAAATTGAAGTTAGCCGGTATTATTGCAAGAGAAAAATATATATATATAAATAATATTGTATGGATTCTTAGCCGGAATTGCCACACCCCGTTAAGAGTACTTAACAATATTATCTATTTAAGTACTTTGCTAGCACCTCTGACCCAGTTATATCCTCAAGATGGAAATACCATAAATTATTAATGTCGTCTAATGCCCCAATTTCTGATATATGAGGTAAGGCAGGTAGGTCAGCAATTATCTCATTTTTTCGCATGGATGAAACTGGGCCGATTTCTTCTGGAATTGATACATGCTCTTTATAACGCATATGATAGACCAATTTGTGAAAGAATAAATTATACTCTTCAATACATTTTGCAAGCTCGCTAGGATATTGAGCAAAATCAGAGCATATTTTTTCCCTCATTTCGTCATCTACTGAGAGGTTTTTATCTTTTGAAATTTTCCTATCGCATTTCATAAATGTCTCCCATAATACCTCGATAGGGTTGCTTGCCATGAAAATCTCATAGCTAAGCCATTTACCATTAAATATTTCATATGAACTACCTATCTTTTGATACAACATTTCTTGTGCTTCTATGACAGCGTTTCTATAGGCGCTTTTATAAGCATTTCCACGGGATACCATTATCTTGGAAGTAATACCATTAACTATTATATTCTCCTTCACAAAACCCTCAAGCCATGATTTGGCTTTCTTTTGAGCATGGTCATCTATTTGCTTATATTTCTCATCCGGATCCTTAATTTGCATTATTTTATCTGAGGGGGTCGGCTCATGTCTTTTATCATACATGATAAATCGGGCACAGAGACCAATGATAGTTTTTTCGTAATAATGATATAAATCTAACTCCTTACCCAATTCCTTAGCTACGTCCACAAATTCCATTTTCTCGCCTTTAGTTGGTTCTAACTTTCTACCATGTAAATCAAAAGTCGTATCTGGATGAGTTACTACGTAACTAAAGCGCCCACCTGGTACCTGAATCTTAGTATCATATTTTCCTTTCATTCTTCCTATAAAACGCTGAACAGCTTTGTTATCTTTATCTGGTTTCCAAGCGTCAGTCTCTATAAATTGTTCAAAATTCCACTGCTCATGATTAATTATAGCATCCCTGAGAACGTCTTCAACAATCTCATGGAGTGATTAGACGTTATTAATATCCATAGCCCTTCGCATAATACGATCCATATAGTTTTGAAAACTTGGGATTTACCCTGCTTCACAGTATCTATTCCCCTTATAAAAGGCTCTCTTGGTTCGAAGTTAGGAGTCTCTTCATGGTCAATGCCAAAATATTTTTTCTTTTCGGTAAACGCTACTGGAAATAGTACTTCCTCGTAGGCTATTTTAAGATAATCCGACCTAGTCTTGAGTCTGAGGAAAGTGTTCACATCATTGCGCAATTTTTCCATTACACCCATAGTAGTCTTGACCATCTCAGTCCAATACTCTAGTTTAGAGATTTCTCCCTCCCCATCATTATAAGCCAGTTCGTATTTCTCATAGCAGGAATCTGGACAAATGAGATATAAGGAATCGGTATCACCGTATTTTATCCTAAAGCCTTTCTTTCTAACGTACTCTGCAACACGTTTGATAATTTCTTGCCCAGCCTAAGTAACACCTCCAGCAAGTTCGAGTATGTAGAATGGGGAACCACTTCTGCCCGTCACACCATAGAATGAATTCATATACAATTTAATGGCTTTCTGCTTAGAATTTAAAGAATCATAGGCAAAGCAGACAGAACTGTATTCTTTTATAAAATTATCATATGATAAATCAATAAAAGGATCTAAGATTTTAACCATCTCAGCACGCTTCTTCACATTCTTCGTCGAGGACAAAACATCTTTGATTGCGTCCGCTATTGAGATAGATCCGCTGGCATGATCCCAAAGGGATCCATCCATTCTACTTTTGACCTTTCCCATATATTTCTTTTTCTTTCCAACATCAGCAAGTTTGAAAAGCGTTGATTCACACCAGTATACGCGTTGATCAACACCAGCTAGTTGTTCAACATGATTAACAATATTAATCAACACCCATATATTGGAGTATATCAGCGCATAATGTTAATATACGCGTCGTTCAACTCTAATTTGTAGTGCAACACATTATGCATTGTTGTTCAACGCACTGTATATTAACGCATATATATGATTACATGTGTATATTTTAATTAAATTATATTTATTTATTTATTTTTACTCACCTTAGGAACCGAACCGGTTACCTCAACTTACAATATCATATCTCACGATCTAACCACTGTACTATTTAATTTAAGTATAATATACATTTATTAAAATTAGTATTTAAAAAAAAA